GGTTGCGTGTGTGTGTGTGTGTGAGAGAGAGAGAGCTCAGAGTTTGGATGGGGTCTGTGCAAATAAGTTATCAACATGTGTACACTATATGCATTACATGTTTCTGTCAGCGTGTGAGCGAAGAGGTGACACTCAGTGAGTCACAGTATGAGTGACAGAGCAGATGGGCCCTCCATACCAAACCGCCAAAACCCAGGACATTCTCCCTCACCCGGTCGTTCACTCCTTCAGTGGATGTGTGTGTGTACATGCACGCTCATCATTTTTGCTGAAGCCAGAGGAAGGCCTTCTGCTGAATGTCGTAATAATAATGTAAAAGAATATGTCAAGGTTGTCGTACTACACTGAGGGAGAAGTAATACTTCATCTTGGAACTATACTCTTGGCATGTAAACAGTCTAGTGTTGCTTTTTTTAAAGAGTTTTGATTATTACAACAAAGGTCTCAGAGAGAAAAGGGGTTTGGGTTGTCAGCTTATTATTCAAGTCAAGCTATTACCATCATAGGTATATATACAGTAACCAGATATTGAGTAACTGGGGAAGTGTAAACTGAATGAAACTAATTCTCTCCTTTCACATCCTCAACTAACTTCTTTGCATGCGTTTCATTGAGGGCTCCCATGGTCTCCCGTCTGCTTGACTTTCTGTTGAGTTTGACAGATTATCTGATGCAAGTATAAAGTGGGGATTGACAGCAAAAATGAGACAGGAAAGATCTGAAAATTCATAATAAATACATTCATAACCTCCACTGTGGCACTAATCCCATCTACACCTTGTCCTATGTTTACTGTCTGATCATTACCTCGTCAATAATGTTAAAGATGTGGTATTAAAAACATGTTGAAATGACGCAATTAGTGCAGAGACATCTGTTGTGGTACTGCTAACTATGCTTTAACAATACAACTCATTTCTCAAATGTAATGTAACCTGACTAGGTGTGTGTGGTTTTCTCACATTATTTCCCCTTTAGGGTCAGTATGATAAAATGTGTTCTTCATTTCACTTCGTAGGATTCTGCGTAAACCAACATGAAGTGGTTTAAAAGGCCATCTGGAGCATTTTCCCTTAAAATACGTCACTATTGGATTTTTAATTCATTGTGCAAAGCAATGACGGTAAACACGCTCTCACGGCATGTCATTTGTTTTTCACTGGTCTTGCTAATGAAAGAACTATTCATATTTATGTATTATATATTTTTCTCCATCTCTTGAGGAAAATGTATGACAGGACGAACATGTGTGCAACAGCTGCATTAATTCCAATTATCAATTTCACTAAAATGATATTAACACAATTACTTAATAGAGAATCCACATAAGATTGTGTTAGTTCCCCGCAGGAATGCATAACCACACTGTGTGTGTGTGCACGAAAAAGGAAACAGAGTTTTTGAGTATTGAGAAGAACGAAGTTGTACCTAGTTAAGCACCAACTTTGTCAACTTTATAGGCCTAATGGGAAATTAATTAATTATATGGAGTGGATAAATAAAGTGAGAACGCAAAGAAAACCAGCCAATCCTCAGCAGGAACTCACTACTATTACACATTCCCCAATGCATCTGGTGCTAAAGGCTCCCTTTGTTTCATTGTAAAGCAGCCACACAAAGCCAAAGTTCAAGTTAACGGTGACTTGAGAAAACCAAACCCTGAACAGTTCATTTCAGGTTCAGTGTGTGTGTGTGTGTGTGTGTGTGTGTGTGTGTGTGTGGTGCAGGAAACCTTACATGGCCATCTCTCACACTCTCTGCCTCCATCTGTCTGGCAGTCCCTCTTTGTTCTCCCTCTCTCTCTCTCTCTCTCTCTCTCATCTCTTGTCTCTGTCACTCTGAGCTATTCCTGGATTCCACGGTGAGGTGAAAGGAAACAGGAACAGTGGATGTTGATACGTAGCAGCAAAGAACCACTCTTCCTCTTGTAACAACACACACACACACGGTCAATATTCCTCTGTTAATGGCGTTGTTCCTCAACCAGTTGGCTTCCAGTTGGTGTTTCCTCAAACATGTTTGTGTGACAAAAGTCATCCTTGTTCCTGCAGATGGAATGTGAGGGTAGTGTGTGTTTGCATGTGTGTATTTGCATGTGTTTGGCAAATAACACAGTTGAAATTGAGATAGTCAGCTGGATGGATCCTTCCTTTATATTGCCATGTGGAGGGAATATTCAAAACAGTAGCACACGCTCTCTCTGCTATCTGCCCTTTGTTCAGTCTCTCCTGCACCACAGCACCACTGGGACGCTCCCCCAACTCCCTGTTGTGCTTATACTGGAACCTTGGAAGCCAGCTGCCCCTGTCGGGCCAATTAGGAAAGCTTTTACTAAAGCTCCAGCCAATTGGATTAGGGCTACATTTCCCAGCCAGATGAAAACTCTCAAATGTGCTGCTGTATGCTTGAATCTGAGAACTGGTGAGTGGACTCGTGTTTCGCTGATGGGCAACTGGAACACTCACTCTGCAGAGAAAAGAGACGTCCCGTGACGCTTCTGTGACTGGGAGTCCTCCGCAACTGAGATTCTAAGCCGGTCGAACCAAGAACATGACTTAAAGCAAACCAGAACCCCAAGCAGCCGAGGTGCACCGCTCCCAGGCGTACATAGAACGGGTGGATTTGAAAGAGCCAAGTCAGGAAGTAAAACTGTTCACTCTTCCTGAGGTGTCTTTCTCCCCCCCCCTGTTAAAAGTTTCTTTCCTTCATCAGAATGGAGGATCTCAGGGTGTTGTGTGCAAATTGTAAAGCCATTGGAGGCGAATTTGTAATTGGGCTATGTCAATAAAACCTAATGGACTTGATTTGAAAATAAATTAAATGTTGTTTTTTTAACCTGACTGAGTGTGTAATAGATTGGAACAAATTTACTTGACAAAACCGTGTTTTTCTGGTTTGTGTCTCCTGTGTGTGTTTGCGTTTGTCTTCGCCATGCATGCTCAGTGTACCGATGTGTCCTTAATCTGAGAATCTGGGCCCAAGTTAGTTCCATTGGTGGAAATTAAAGCAATTTCGAAAACCCAATGGAGCAATTCAAATCCATTGTGCTTCAATCACCTGTTTGAAAATTAGGATCAAACACCAAAAGCTAAATATAGAATGTTTGGAAAAAAAAAAAAAAAAAAAAAAAAAAAGCCAAATAATGCACTAGATCTAGGACTAAAATGTACGTCGGGTTTATTTATAAGTGTAAGAGGATAAAGGGAAAAACGGGACTAGAGATGCCAAAATGAAAGAAAAAAAATACTGTGTCACATTTTCCTCCAAAAATTTAGATTAAAAATAAAAATAAGAAATACCAAGAGATGCTTGAAGAGAGAAGTACTGACAGAGACAAAGCAACATACAATATTAGGCTCTCTCTCTCTCTCTCCCTACTTCTCATCCATACCGATATAGAGAGTTCACTGCAAAGTCAATACTTATGAGAACGAGTCTGTGAAAGTGCTCATGGGGGCCTGGATCACACACACACACACACACACTTTCTCAACCTGCTCTATCCCTGGTGCTCTGCTCAATTTGGTAAGTTGCCACCGGATACTTGTCCATCACAGAAGACACAAACGCACACAAGAAAATACGCAACACTGCAAAATCACTGCCAGTCACTCATACTTAAAAAAGCAAGGATGAAGCTACTCCATCTCTCTCTCTCTGACTGAGTCCACTGTACAGTACGCAGCACGAGAGGAGCACTATATGGCGTTTCCACTGAAATCAGCTCTATCCGAAGAAAGGGCCGGGCATTACAAACAAAGACACCCCACATTGCTATCTAACCCGGGCAGGTGTGGCCGCGTGTGCTAACAGGGACACCTGCACACATGAAACAGGGTGGAGCAAACAAAAATAAACCAACCGGCAACAGGCTATTAGTCAAGCCTGGAGACCCTGCACCGGGCACAGAGCGCTGATAAAACTCCTGAAACCAGCACAGACCAATAGACCACGGCAGAGACCACATGCAGCTCAAATTAGCCGGTCAATACAAAAACAACCTGTCCACACATTCAAAAAAAGACTGCGAAATGATGCCAAAATCTGCAATAATGCTGCTTCAGCAGCAAGAGGAACTGTTTGAGGGGGAAGTGTTGCATGACAGGACAAACTGTGCAACCGTGAAGACCTTTGCACACCGACTATTCTGTGTCTTTTGTAGATACGGGGTTCGTTTACAGACTGGCCTACTTAACAGGTTTGGGTACGCAGACGAGCTGGTTCAGCGGGAACAGAGGGCAGCTCGGGATTTCTTTCACTCACTGTCATTCACCGACAATCCACGCATGCATGAACGCACGCACAGAAACAAACACATTCTCTCTCTCACACACACACACACACAAAACAGCGACAGTATATTGTATGAGGAAATAACCGCAATAATGAACCACGGTGCTTCAGTACTTTACTTTTGGTTCCCTAAACAGTGCCTCGTGTGGGTTAAAAAGAGGAAATGAAAATAAGATACTGAACATGAAAAATACAACTAATAAGGCTACTGAATAAACCACTAGCAGGACCTCTAATAGCCGAACACCAGTTGGAGAAAATGATTAAAATAGACCCCAATGGGTTCTCATACAATCGATATATCTCGCAGCACAGTGCGGAAGTGGTCCGTCAGACACCTGCTTTAAAAAGATGAGCTACAGTCAACCCGCCACCCCTCGTCTCCTAAATCTTATTCTTCGCAGGATAATTCAACAAAACATCGTCCTGCAAACGCGGACTGGAAACACAGTGGACCCACGACACGAGGAAAGTTAACGTTTCATCACGTGCAGAGTTCCTCTTTTTGTTCTTGCCACGGGGGGGAAAGAAAACAAAGCAAAAGCATGGACGAGACATTTCCAACTCTACAGACCAAGAGATAAACGAAATGAGCCAAAACTCCCGAGAATCTTCTGCCTTCGGTGTGACAGCGCTGAACATGCGTGCAAAACCCTCGTAAAATGGACAAAAAAACAGAGCTGGAAATAAAATAACAAGCAACTTACGGTGTTAGCAATAAGTTGTCGATATTCCGTCACTGCAACCAAAACATTAGAAATCCAAAAGAGGCGAAAATCCGACAAAATGAGAGAGCCGAGCTGAGCTGTCACCCGTCCAGCCGCAACGAGGAGAAGTCGGACTGCTCGCGCCTTCACAAACACGAGAAGCGAGCGCGAGCCGCCTGCTGGTTTCTCCGCTCTCGCACGAGACAAGAGAAAGGGGCGAGATTCCCTAGAGACGGCTGTTGCTGCGAGTGCGCAGGTGCGGACTGAGTTGATTCATTCCGGTGGAGTAGGGCTGCGAAAAGGCAGAAATATAGCTGGGCAAATGCGTCTATTTAATTGTTTATTCGTTTGTTTGTTTGTTTTTCCAGAGGAAGCATTAGAGACGAGCAGAGGAGTGGCAGTGAAATAAACAACCGCAGATCTATAGACAATAGAGCTGTAGAAAAGGCTGTTACTCACTAGTGCGTCTAATCTAATTACATTTGGGACTATATTGATTATTTTCGCCATCAATTAACCTGTCAATATACATTTATTTCAGATTAATCCTTATCAATCGTTAAATCGAGGCTGTAATCTGTCAGAAAATTGTGACAAATGCAACATTACAAGTCAAGAGCGCTTATTATGTAACAGTCCAAAACTCAAAAGATATTTAATTTGCAGTGATATTGGCTGAGTAAGAGAAATTAGATCAGTCTACCATTTGAAAAGCTAAAATCAGACTATCGAGAGTTTATGCGTATTACTTCATATACGCGAGTCATGACTGAACAGCTTGATTTAGTCATTTTCTGATGGTCTGCTAATTGGATTTTCGCCTAATCCTGTCAGCACTTAATTAGATTTATTTGCCAAAACAAAAAGAAACGCACGGCCTTATAATCAACCTAGTCTATAATTTGAATTTGTCAAATTAAAATAAAAAAGTGGACATTTAAGTGGAAATGGGGAGAAATCCCGATTAAAAAGAGTCTAGGAATATATCTTGACTCCCTCTCAAGAGAAGCATTTCTCTCTCCAAGTCCCAGACAGTCTTATAAATAATTCAGCAATAAAAGCTTGCCTCTGCTCGCCTGGTTGCGTGCAGCGCCGAAAGAAGCCCCCCCCCCCCGCTCCCCTCCTGCACGGCGTCAATCTACGCGGGCGTTACCAATTAAAACAAATCTCGAAGCAAAATAAAGTTCAATCAACATTCCTGTTTTCGCAAATGGCTGTGGCCGGTCAGCCAGATCAGCCAGGGATTACGAGGCTTCTGTCAACTATCAATAGCCTCGCGCGCCTGCGAGAGACGGTTGGGCAGAGGGAGGGAGGAGCGGGATGGCTCAGTTTCAATGCGCAGACGGTGCAGCGCGACCAGCCGATGAGGCTGTTTGTCCTGTCCGCGGATCGGAGGAGACCGGAGATTTACCCGCAAACGACGGCAAATGTAATTTAAGACCCCCCGTCCCAGATCCCCCAACATCTGAACCGCATCCCAAACCCAAAGAGGGGATGAGGGCGCGTAAAGTGTATAGCCGGGGGGAAAAAAGCAATTTACCTGCACACAGCTCCCGTTCGGCTTGCTGATATTACTTCCCCACTCCTCCAATGTGGCTTTCAGCGCTGCCACTCACTCCGAGCTGCTCGCCGCCGAACGGGAATTTAGACAACGGGATTTGTTCACGTGGTCACGCTCAGCGATCCTAATTGGCGGAGCGGCTCGAGCCGCTGCTGGCGCGCACCTGTACGGTGAACGGTACGACGGTGCAGCCGGGAGGAAGAAGAGAATGACTGACGAAAACAGATTGGTGCAGAAGATACATATACTTTGCATAATATATGGATTTGATCTCCCGCACCCCCGTGTGTGTGTGTGTGTGTGTGTGTGTGTG